AGGTGTTCCGGGTGTCCTGCCCTGCCCACGGGGGGATGGGGGTGGAATTGGGACCACCCTGACCCCCTTGGGCTGGGGCTTTGTCCTGCACCCCCCCCCCCCCCCCCGCAGCTGCAGGGGTGGGAGGGCAGGGATGTCATGGATTCGTGGGATGGGATGGGTTGGGGGGATATTAAGGATCATCCAGTTCCATGGGCAGGGACACCTTCCGTTAGCCCAGGTTGTTCCAACCTGGCCTTGGACACTTCCAGAAATCCAGGGGCAACCACAGCTTCTCTGGGAATTCCATCCCAGCCCTTCAGCATCCTCACAGGGAGGAATTCCTTCCCAATATCCCACCCAAATCTCCCCTTTTCCAGTGGGAAGCCATTCCCTGTGTGCTGTCCCTCCATGCCTTGTCCCCAGTCCCTCTCCAGCTCTCCTGGAGCCCCTTCAGCCCTGCCAGGGGCTCTCAGCTCTCCCTGGAGCCTTCTCTTGTCCAGGGGAACCCCCCCAGCTCTCCCAGCCTGGCTCCAGAGCAGAGGGGCTCCAGAACCCTGGAATGGGTTGGGTTGGGAGGGACCTTAAATCCCATTGATTCCACCCCCTGCCATGGGCAGGGACACCTTCCCCTATCCCAGGTTGCTCCAGGTCCCATCCAACCCGGCCTGGGACACTTGCAGGGCTGGAGCCTGCCTTCATCTCCTGAGCTATTTATGGGATATCTTGCACTTCCCTCTTGTTTCCCCTGGAATTCAGAGCTGGGTGATGCAGAGCCCGAGCTGGAGTCTCTGGTCCCGGGGAGCGACCCGGGACACCCCGGGGTGTGGGGTGTGGGGGTGGTTCTGGGGGTTCCCAGGCGGGCAGCTCCTCATTCCCACCCCCCAGGAAGCCAGCCTGGCACGGCTCCAGCTGGCCCTGCAGTCCCAGGTGCCCCCGGCCGAGCTGGAGGTGCTGGGGAACCAACTGCTGGACGGGGTCATCGCCGACTGCAGGTACCGCCCGGCCTGCCCCCACTGCCTGCCCCGCAAAGGACCCCTGCTTTGGCCTCACCCTTTGTTTTCCCTGCCTTTTCTCCCCCCTGCCTTTTTTCCCTGCCTTTTTTCCCCCCTTTTTTCCCACCTTTCCTCCCCCCTTTTTCTCCTCCCTCTTTTTTACCACCGGTTTTTTTCCCCACCCTTTTTTTCCCAGCCTTATTTTTCACCCCTCTTTTTTTTCCCCTGCCTTTTTTCCTCACCTTGTTCCGCTGCCTTTTTTCCCCAA